GTCGACTGAGAGGGGCGGTCTGTGGTTTCAGCGGTGTTCGGCAGAAAAAGTGTCCGTTTTTAATTACATAGAATCTGCGCCGAACACCACTGGTCTTTCGCATTGTTTAAAATGGCCACCGCCTTGTGGTCGACATAAGAACGACGACCACCCTGCATTCGGTTATAATAAAGAGGTGTCTGCGGTTAACCACAATGTTCTAATTGGGATCAAGAAGTTAACCAGCAGCACACTTCTCTTCTGGGTGGCCGTCCGTTCGGTAAGTTCATTCGGTAAAAAGTCAAACATACGAATAGGGGTATACGGACAGGCAATTCCACGAAAGGAAGGCAAACTAGACGAACCAGCAATAATAGTTATACAGATGGGTCTGTCACAATCTGCTTTCCCCACATTGCAGGTGCTTACTCTGCTAATACTTACCCGGCTGGAGAGGAGGGCCAGCGAGGGAGCTCACTCTTCCTGCTCCACACTGCTCCCTCGCCCGCCCCGTCTGTAGTGAAACTGGGCGCCGGAATATGATGTCATATTCCGGCACCCGGCATCACTAAACCGCATGCGAGGGAGCAGTGAGGAGCAGATAGAAGGGAGATGCCCCACATCGGCTCCAAAAGGTAAGAAGCAATAAAGAAAAGTGTGTGTGTGCAAGAATGTGTAAGTGTGTGAGTGTGTGTGTGTCTGTCAGTCTGTGTCTGTCAGTGAGTGTGTGTGTTTTTCAGTGAGTGTGTGTGTGTGTGTGTGTCTGTCCGTGTGTGTCTGTCTGTTTGTGTGTCTGTGTGTGTGTCTGTCTGTCTGTCAGTGAGTATGTGTGTGTGTGTGTCTCAGTGAGTATCTGTATGTGTGTGTGTGTGTGTGTCAGTGAGTGTATGTGTGTCAGTATGAGTGTGTGTGTGTGTGTGTGTCAGTGAGTGTGTGTCTGTCAGAGTGTGTGTGTATGTGTGTGTGTGTGTCTGTCAGAGTGTGTGTGTGTCTGTCAGTGAATATGTGTGTGAGTCAGCGGGAGGATAAGATTTGGCACAGGGTGGCACAGAGGGGCTGTGGTTTAGTAGAGGGGGGACTGGGATTTAGTAGAGGGGGGTGCTGTAGTTTAGTAGAGGGGGATGCTGAGTTTTTTTTATACTGTACTTTTCAAAATAAACCTACGTTTCTATGAAAATTTAAGGTGTGTTGTTTTTTTTTTGGTGGCCCACATAAACGTAAACCTTCTTTATGTGGCCCGTGCCAGACTTTGAGTTTGACATGCTTGCTCTACATTATCTGTGCTGCTGGACACTTTATTGTCAGGTCACAGTTTCGGCTCAATATGCCATCACTTAAAGGACCACTATAGGCACCCAGACCACTTCAGCTCAATGAAGTGGTCTGGGTGCCAGGTCCCTCTAGGATTAACCCTGCAGCTGAAAACATAGCAGTTTCAGAGAAACTGAAAATCACAGTGAGAAGACGCTGGACGTCCATAGGAAAGCATTGAGTAATGCTTTCCTATGGGCGGTTTGAATGCGCGAGCGGCTCTGATGTCAGCAGGGGGTGGAGAGTTCCCCAGCGCCGGGCTCTCTCGTAAGGTAAGGTAATTGGCTGAAGGGAGGATGGGGGCCCTGAGGGAGGAGGTGGGACCTAATGACATAGAAACATAGAAACATAGAATGTGATGGCAGATAAGAACCATTCGGCCCATCTAGTCTGCCCAATTTTCTAAATACTTTCATTAGTCCCTAGCCTTATCTTATAGTTAGGATAGCCTTATGCCTATCCCACGCATGTTTAAACTCCTTTACTGTGTTAACCTCTACCACTTCAGCTGGAAGGCTATTCCATGCATCCACTACCCTCTCAGTAAAGTAATACTTCCTGATATTGGAGAAGCCTGGCTGCCCGCCTGCTGCCTTTGGACTATGGACCAGACTTTATGTGAATGTGTTAACCCAGATAGCTATGCCATGGAGCCCATTCGTGTAGTTAAAGAATTCGGCTCCATGGCAATTGAGCTGTGTGAATAGGATCTGAGCGCTATTCGGTAGTTTTGTGCGCTCAGACCTGAGCTATCTGGGGATATGTGAAATGTCTGTGTGTTATGTGTAAAAGGTGACTTTATGTATTTTAAAGTGTTTTATGTCTTTTTGCAACCATGTGCTCAATGGAGTCTGCCTCTATCCCTGGATAATTGGATTACTTTCCCCATTGTCTCCAGGATAGAGGGCTCTGTAAAACCTGTTTGAGCCAGATATTCATGTGTCAGCCAGGGCCCAAAAGATACTTTTACTAACTTTTGAACCCCTGGTCGGATTCATGCCATTTTTTAATATGTTGTTCCCCTGAATGGATTGATTGTGAATATGTAATTTTATGTGAATGTGATGTATGATTTTAGAGTTATGAAAGTTGTGTAGAAAGTATGTTTTAACTGTATGTGTAATTGAGTTTCCTCTCAGCATAAGGGGAAGGAATATGTGGGATGTAACTGATATGTGATTGGTTGTTTTATACCTCCCTGTGGGCGGTCCTGTATTTGAAAAGGCTGTAATAAAAACCAGGCTGGGTGTGCCAGCACCTGAGTTCCTGCTTAACCCTCAAAGTGAAGTGTCGTCTCATTATTGGGGGAGGATTTATTGTATGCTATTCCAGTTTGACTGCTAGGAGTCTAAACCCATCCATATGTTTTTTGCCTATTCAGCTGTTTATAGCATTCATATGCTTGAGAGAAGGTATACGCTTCTCTGGTTCGGTGATTGTGGTGTCTGCCAGAGTGCTTGGAGTCCTCAGGAAACGCTAGGAGCATCCTTTAACGGAGGTACCCAGTCGGGGTGCCAGGTGATCCGTTACATTGGTGGCAAGTGGTGGGATGGCGTCCTAGTGCGAGGTAAAGCAGCTCAGAGACACCGTTCGTGGAGTTACAAATTGAGGGCACGTGCAGCGCCCCTGGGAGCAGAGGTATCCAGCGACTTGGAGCAGACAAGTATGGAAGGCTCTGGCGATGATTGGATGGCCGAGGTGAGGCAGCGAGTGGCCCAGTATGGGGGTGATTTACCCATGGAGGTACGCCGGGTGATCTGGAACCAGGTCACGGCCGAGCGAAACACGAGGCTGGCCCGAGAATTCTGGCTGGTGAAAGAGAGAGAGTATGTTCAGCGGAAGGAGTGTTACAGCAGCCGAGTAGAGGCTTCATCCGAGGAGGCTAGCCGTCTCCCCCTGAGGCGCCCGCAGGAACCCGAAGTAGGGGTCCTCATAGACTGGTCCTGTGAGGAACCACAACAGGCAGGTGGGGATGGGACCGAGGTCTCTCCACCGGGCCCACCAGGATGCTGGGCAGCCAGCCTAGATCCCCAGCAGCAGCCGGAGTTGCCAGGTGCGGAAGCAAGTGGTCCTTACTCGCAAATGTTGAGGGACCTCACAGACTGGTCCTGGGAAGACCCACAGATGGCAGGTGGAGATGGGATGGCGGTCGCTCTATCGGCCCTACAGGGATGCTGGGCGGTCGGCCCAGATCTCCAGCGGCAGTATGTATCACAGGGAGCTGAAGGTGCTGTCCTTCCTCCCCAGCGGCAGTGTGAGTCCCAGGGAGCCGAAGGTGTCGTCCTTCTTCCCCAGTGGCAGTGTGAGTTCCAGGGAGCCGAAGGTGCTGTCCTTCCTCCCCAGCGGCAGTGTGAGTTCCAGGGAGCCGAAGGTATTGTCCTTCCTCCCCAGTGGCAGAGTGTTTCCTTAGGAGAGGAGACAGTTGGTCCCTCTCCCCAGCAGTCCAGTGAGTCACAGGGAGCCGAAGGTGCTGTCCTTCCTCCCCAGCGGCAGTGTGTACTGCAGGAAGCAGAGACAGTCGGTCTCGCTTCCCAGCAACGGGACAATATATTGAAAGGAGAGACAGTCGGTCTCTCTCTCCAACAGCAGAGAGTGTTCCAGGGAAAGGAACCGGTTATCACCTCTCCCCAGCAACAGGACAAATTATTGAAAGGGGAGACAGTTGGTCTCCCTCTCCAACAGCAGAGAGAGTGTATGGGAGAGGAGCTTGTTACCCCCTCTCCCCAGCAGCAGCCTAGCCCACCAAGGGGAGACAGTAAGCCCCACAACGGTGCAGATGGGACTGTGGTCTCTGTGCCCAAACCACAGGGGGTAGGGACGGTCGGTCCTGTCCCCCTGCAGCAGGGCTGTTTATCCAAAGGGGAGACAGCCTGTCTTCCCCTCCAGCAGCAACACTCCAGAGGGAGGAGCCTACTAACCCTTCTCCTCAGCTGAGCCCCAACCAGGCTACTCCCGTGGTAGCGCTGGCACCAGGGCAGAGTACCGCTGGTCTCAGCCCACGCAGCAACCCACCGATCCGGAGGGCTAGTACTCCCCAGACCTGTGGTGGAGCCCCTGGACATGGACAAGCTACCCACTACCCCAGGTACAGTAACTGTTCATTGTGGGTGGGCTGCACTACTGACTATGTTTTTTGGGTGGGTTGCTGGACTAACCAAGGCACTGA